CGGGTGCGGCCCCCGCCCCCGCCCCCTCCCGGTGTGCGGAGCCCGATTGTCACTCAGCTCCCGCACCGGGGGCGACCAAGGCGCCGGCGCCTGAGTCAGGTCCCAGCCAGCTCCCATCCCCCTGGACCCGACAGGCCGACCCTGGAATTTCCAGGCATCCCCGGAGCCAGCGGCGGCTGGATGTGGGGGCTACTGGACAGAACGGCTAGGTGGTGAGGAGTTCTGCCAGCTTTGGTGACCTTGGGTAAGTCTGTGCCTCGGTTGGCTCCCTGGAACTCCCCGACCAGAGTGCGGGTGGGGAGGTGGATAAAGCGACTGGAATGCCCCCGTGGGGCAGGCGGCAGGCGAGGTCGCCGGCGTGGGACTGGGGACTGCTAAGAGCCAGGCGCGGTGCTGTGTCAGGTGGGTGGGTGCAGGGCGTGTGTGCGCGCACGCCGGGGAATGGGAGCCCGCGCCCCAGCCCGGCCTGGGCTCAGTCCCGCAGACCCACGTTGCACCCCAGTCCCAGGTGCGAAACGGGGGCACTACCTCTTTAAAAGCGTCCGGGCCGAGCCTCCGCCACACCATGTGATTGCTTGAAAGGCCGGGCTGGGAGCGCTGCGGCGGGAGCCTGGAGGACGATGAGCTGCCGCGCGGTGCCCAGAGCCCAGCCCTGCCCGGCGCGGCCCCACAGCTCTGGGCGGCACCAGGTGCCAGGAACTTTGGGTCCCGGCGCTGGGACCCTCTGCTGGCCAGCAGGCAGGATGGTGAGCTCCCCGCATCCTGCTCTGTGCGCACGGGTGGACAGTGCCAGGCTTGGGGGACCCCTGAGGGGCATGCGTGCGCTGGGAGCTGCCTCACACCTGATAGAAAAGCCAGTGGAGGAGCCAGCGCTGCTATTTTAAGTTGCAGAACGGAACCGCTGGGGACGATAAGGGGAGGGGACAGACATTAGGCAGAAAGGGCCCAAGGACCCCCCTCCAGCCTGGCGGGCGCTGGACTTGCAAGTGGGGCACATCTCCAAAGGCAGCGGGAGTTCCAGGGCTGCCTGGGCTCCCCCCACCGGCTGGACGGTTTCCCCACCCCAGGCTTCCCGACCACAGGTGCCTGCCTTGTGGGCCTTGGTGCCTGCCTGCTGATGTGCCCAGCCTGTGCCCACCATGCCGCCCTCCGTCTCGGCCTTCCAGGCCGCCTACATTGGCATCGAGGTGCTCATCGCACTGGTCTCCGTACCCGGGAACGTGCTGGTGATCTGGGCAGTGAAAGTGAACCAGGCACTGCGGGATGCCACCTTCTGCTTCATCGTGTCGCTGGCGGTGGCTGATGTGGCAGTGGGCGCCCTGGTCATCCCCCTGGCCATCCTCATCAACATTGGGCCACAGACCTACTTCCACACCTGCCTTATGGTCGCCTGCCCCGTCCTCATCCTCACTCAGAGCTCCATCCTGGCCCTTCTGGCAATTGCCGTGGACCGCTACCTCCGCGTCAAGATCCCTCTCCGGTGAGTCCCCAGCAGCTGAAGGTACTGGCAGCATCCCATGCTGGCTGGCTCCTGGGCCATCTAGAGAGGGTGGAAGGAAGGAGAAGCGTAAGACCCAAGCCAGGCCAGCCATTCTGAGCCATGTTCCCTAGCCCCCACTCTGCCTTCCCATGCCCCGCTCTGCAGTGCTAGGCCAAGCTACGTTGGAGAAGCAGGAGGGGGCTGGGTGCTGTGAACCTGGCAGTGTCCAGGACCTCAGAGCCAAAGCTGTGGCTGCTGGAGAGCTGAGGCTGCTTTTTGGACTTGGGAGGGAGGTGGGGGACTTGGAGGGGCCGCCAAGACAGGGTCACGATGAGCACTGGGGAGACCAAGCTGAGCTCCAGCAGCCCCAGGGGAGAGGAAGGGGTGAGTAGAGGGCTAGGCTGAATGTGAGCTTGTACTGAGCGTGCACACCAGAGCGGGAGTGCTGCTTCTCCACCCAGAGCCAGGCAGGCTTCCTGAAGACTCTCTTTAGCTCTTCCTTAGCCCTCTCATTCTCTAGGTATTTCGGTGCCAGTCTGTTCTGCGCTCTTGGGCTGCCCCGCTGAGCCCGGTGGTCTGGCTGTCTCTGCCCACTGGCCACTTACAGGCTCCCTAGTGCAGGCAGGAGGAGGGGGAACGCTGGCGTCCGCTCCCAACATTCTGCTCTGTTGCAAAACCGTGTTTGTCTTCGTCGGTCACAGAGGAGGTGTTTGTGCTGCCTCCATGCAGCTCCAGGGTGGGTGGCCTGATGAGGGCAGTCCTCACTGTGGCTTTCCAGTCCACGTTGAGGATCCCTGCCCAGACCTGCCAGGCCATAATCTCGTCACCAGGCAGTGCCTGGGCCACCAAGCACCAGTGAGTACCTAGGCACACTGCCAAGGACTGGCCCTGCTGGGACACTCTTATGAGGCATGCTTGCCCTCTTTAAATTCCTGTCACTAGTAGATTCCTTTTCTACTGGGGAGCTCCGGCCATGTCCAGCACCTGCCATCCCCGGCAAAGCTTCCATATCTGGGACATGGGGACTCTGGCCTCACTTGGCAGCTTGCCTGGGTTGGCCTAGGCACCCACTTTCTCCTTTGGCTTTGCATTTGTGCACGTTTAACTTTTCAAAGCCCTATTTCATGCATGATTTTTTCCTGTTCTCAACATGATCGAGTGAGGGCGCTGGAGCAGGAACTGGTAACAGGGAAACTAAGACTCAGAGGGTCTCCTGGAGCCAGGGGGGAGCAGAGCTTAATTCAACCATCCAGCACAGCCCAGAAGCCTAGAAGCTCAGCAGCTGGGAAGCTTTCAAGCTGCCATTAGTCCCAGGTCGCTGCTGGGCTGCACGGACCAAGCTGGGCTCAAGCCATTAGAAGAGCCGAGCCTGAGTCCGACCATTATAACAAAGGATAGCCACATTAGGAAACTCACGCAGATGTAGAGACGTTGGGAGGCTGTTAGAGAAATTCTGTCTGCTGAGTTGGGTGCCAAGGCGAGCCAAAGGCCGGAGCTGATGTTACAGAGGTCACTGACGCAGAATGTCCCCTCCCGGCCCTGGGGGTGGAGAGGGCTGTGCTGGTAGGAACTGCAGGCTCATTCCTCAGGAGGCAGCTGCTGTTGCTTTGGAGCTGGGGGTGTCTCGAGGAACTGCTTTTTGGGAGGCTGAGGCAGGGTGTGCACAGAGGCAAATACATGCCTGGGTTGGAATTCGTGCTGTGAATTTCTAGCTGGGAAAGTCACTTATTGAACCTCCTTAAGCTTTACTTTCTTCGTTTATAAAAGGGGACGTTGATACCAGTGCCTACTCTCTAGGGTTACTGGAGGAATTCAATGCTCTTGGGCACACGAGGCACTTGATCTGAAGGCTGACATACTTCATGCACGCTGCAGATGGTACAGTGACGTTTGTAGCTCTTTGATCATTGACATATGGCTCACAGTGGGGCTGGCTAGACAACCCTGCCTCCCCTCATAACAGCCTCATGCTCATAGAAGGTGCATGTGCACACACACACGTAGACACACGTGCAGACACACACTCACACAATCCCTTCTGAAGGGGTGTCCAAGTACTGTGAAGTTATGCCCATGCGTGTTTCCTCGCCCCTGGTGGCTCGTAGTGACCTGGGCAGTGATCGCATCTTGTCTGTTTTTGCAATTCTCCAGAACGTCCAGCTCGGTGTCTGGCACAGTGAATTGGCTTCCCCAGTGCACACAGCTGAGCCTCAGGCAGGCCTCCCAGATGTCTCACCTCTAACCTCCTTGCTGTGGACTAGTCCTGTCTCCCTTCTACCTTGGGGCCCTGACCTCCTCCTGTGCCTGGGAGCACCCTGCTCCATGGAAAGAGGCCTTCCTCCTAAGTTAGGGGAGGGCTGACTGCTGTGCTCAGCTCCTCGTGCAGGGATCCTGGCGGAGGTGTGGACCCTTCTGGGACCTCTCCTGTCACTGCTCAGGTCTCTTGCACAGGGAGCCGCATGCTCTGTCCCCTTCTGGGCAGCTGAAGTCAACAGGCTGCTGGGTCTGCGAGGCCTCTCTCATCAGAGGCCCCCAGACATTGGCTCCTGCCCTGCTGGGCCAGTCAAAGGGAGCTGCACCAAGAGTCCCAGGGCGTGATGGTGACCAGGTGGTGGCAGAGCTCATCTGGGCTCTAGACGCAGGAGTCCTCAGACCCCTCCCTGAGTGAGGCATGGTTCGGCCAGTCAGCCACAGATGCCGTTTCCTTCCACTTAGAATTATGAGAAAAAAGAAAATCACATCATGTAGTGTGGTCTGCTTCATACATTTAAAAAAGCTCAAATCGTTAGTTCATCAATAACTTGGGTCATTTACATTTCATTTGCATGTCATTTACATGCCACTTTCACATACTTGGTCATTGATACCCTGGTTCCCGACCCAGGGCTTTCCTGTTGGCACTCTGTGACAATTTGGTGCCTACTTCAGAGGCTTAGGGCAGGGAGGACTTCTAGCAAAGTCCTGACCAAGACCTTCTGTGCAGGAAGGAGATTCCAGCAGGGGCCGACCAAGCCCAGAGGGATTGGAGTGAGGTGAGATGTGGTGGGTATTTGGGAGTCAGATAGACCTGAGTTTGAACCTTGCTCTGTTAGCAACTAGCTGTGCAACCATGGGCCACTTACTCAACCTCTCTGAGCCTTTCTCCCTTGCCACCTGTGAAATGAAGGGCTTGGAGTTCAGGTCTCTGATGTTTCTGTTGGCTTTAATTCTCAGTGGTTCTTTCTCACCCTGGCACCTGCCAGTGACGTGTTGGGATCCTGGCAGGTTTTTGTCATGTCGTGTTTTTAGCGCCTAGTGATTACGTGCTGGACATGAGGCTTTGTTTTTTGAATACTTTATGTCATTTAATGTCACAGCCTTTCACTGTAGAGTCGTTACCCCAATCCTGTAGACCATCCTTTAGCTAACCACGGTCTGAGGCTCAGGGATGTTCAGTAATTTGCTCATGCAGCTTGTCAGAAGCAGGGGCGGGATTAGAGTCCAGCCCTAACAGATGCCTTTAGCCAGTGAGCCCAAGGGCTTCTCTTGCATCAGCCCAAGAAGCTGTAGGATTTCTGGAGGCGTTTCCTCAAAGCTGTCAGTGGGGTGATTCTTCTCTGACCTTTGCCAATGGTCTCTGCACTCTGCTCAGCAGCGCTCGGCCCTGCCCCCTCCCGCCCCACCTTCACCCCAATAGGCAGCTGAGCTCCTGGCAGCCCTGCCTCAGTCCACAGCTGGAAACCTGCCCTGCTGGGCTGCTGACCCAGGGAAGCTAGCAGGGAGCCCTGCAGGGAGTGGGGGAGGCCTGGTGTGCTGGGCCCAGCTTGGGCAGGGAGAGGAATCTGGTAGATTAGGACCCGATGACCTTTAGGAATCAGGTTAATCCTCCCTGCCCTATGGAACATGGACATTTCTTGATACCCATAGTGTCTCATGTCCCGTACACCCCAGCAGACCCCTGGGTCCTCAAATAGTTACTGTCAGGCAGGAGAACAGGCTGTCTCCAGATCCTCTGTTTAAGGATGTGTGGGCTAGTCTAGGCCTAGAGTGTCCAAGATGGAAGAGGAGTGGAGCCCAACTCCTCACACTTGTGGACAAGGGAACAGGTCCAGGGAGAGTAGGAGGTGGCTCAAGGTTGCTTGGCTGGGAGCCCATTCCCCTCCAATCAGGACTCCTGCTCCCCTGCCCAGATGCGAAAGGTCAGAGCAGGAAGAGCTCTTAGCAATCACTTCTCCTTAAGGAACAGAACAGAAAAGTGCAGCCACGATGGGGCGAGTCATCAAGTCAGTGGCAGGCGTCAGGGGAATGGACGGAGGGCAGGCACTGTATGATTAAGAAGACAAATTCTCTGATTGACCTAGGCGTGGCCTTCAGGTGCGTTATATGCTAGGGAACGTGCTGAGCTAGGAAAACAAAGACTTTAGTTGTAGAGAGGTGGGGATTAGTTCCAAGGAGAAAGCTTCCCTACCTGGTGTGGGACAATCTGCCCAGGTGTTGGCACTGCTTGGGTGCAGGGGGCTGGCCAAGATGCCTTCGGGAGAACTCCTTTTCCCCAGGGGTCATGAGTGGAGCTGTGGGGGCCACATGCTGACATTTGCTTTTTATTTCTAAGCATGAAACCAACCCATGTTGATTGTGAAAAATAAAGGAAGGAATAAAGATGATCAAATCACCAGTAATCCCACCACCTACAGAGAACTACTGTTAACATTTTGGTGTTCCAGAAAAATTTTCCATGAACGCACACATATATATATATAGATATATTATTTTTACATAGTGAGGGCATCTATATATACATGGTTTTATATCCCATTTTATTCACTTAACATTATATTGGAAGCACTTCTCGTGGCAACTGAAATTCTTTCGTAAGTTTTTTGTGATGGTATTAGATGGGGTTGTATTATTATTCATCTTAGAGGTTACAGCTAAACAGCCCCTCTGAAGGAGACCTTCCCTGACCCTCTCCCCATCAGCTGGGCCAGATTGCTTTTCTCTGCTACATACGAGGTTAGATC